TATTACAGTAATATAGACGCGTCGAATAAGCCTAATTTCATCGAAATCGGAGATAAAAGTCGCATTCTGAATAATTTACCTGTCTCTCTGCGTAACGAACACCACTAATGCTAATTCTACAATGAGTCGATAATCGAAAGTAATCGGTAACGTTTCGTACTGTTGGCTATTGGTCAACTTCACTGATAAGATTATCGACTTAGGATTATCGACTTGTTATAAAATCAACATTAACGAATACAGAGCAACCATGGCACTTTTACCCCAACAACCATGGCACTTTTTACCCCAACAAGTCACGTAAACTTTGCGGCATTGTTATTAAAAAACTATAATAGAAATAACAATTCTAATAATCACACTGTTAAAACAATAGAGAATAAGATTAATAAATACACTTATTTAATCTATCTAGGTGCAAAAATGATCCCTTCAGACCAAAATAACTGCGGCGCTAATATCTTACTTTTGGTTCTCAAACACATGGGCACATCCGTGCAAGTTTCCTGACGGTTATTAGGCAGTAACGAACTGTGTGACATAAGATTCTCACTCTTAGTTGACGAACTGTGTGGCGGAATTTTCTAGTGAATGCCTTATTACCGAGATACAAGGGGTGGACCTTTTTTCCCCGGGGACCTTTACTCCCCGGTCTACTCTATATAAATACGACAAATATGTCACTTTTTTAAGGAAAATTTTTTGTGTATACATGTAATAAATATACGTAATTTCAGAAATCTAATTCAATTTAAATAAATGTAAACATTAAAAAATGATAATTCAAGATAAAATGTTAAATTTCAAAGAATTAAATGTTGCATACAAAATCACATAAATAAATTGTGTGCATGTAAGATCCTTTGATTCAGATACTGCGTGCTTTGTCGAACAGACAACGATCCCGATTTAGAATTGTATTGCACAATATCGAAGATCATCGTTCCGACCGAGGCGAGGGAGCCGTACAAGAACCGTGCCGAGAGGCACGACGTGCTGCATCGCGATTTTGTTAGTCTCTAAGAAACTGGAGCATGACGAAAGGAAGAATGAGATTGCAGCGGCGTTAGGCTTTATGCCGATCGGTACACGTGGTAATCCACAGTAGCTCACAGCTACAAGAGGCACGGTGGTAATGGAGTCAGTGATCCGCAGACCTTGTACAGAAGAAACGATCCGTTCGATAAAACCAGTTGCGCATCGCTATAAGCGAATACGGAATCTCGTGCGCGTATAGAGGTATACGAGTTCAATCGATATTATTCCCACCCCATCTTCTATATCTAACGCTATATAGCTTCGTTGAAAATTGTTTGCATTTTTTGAAACGAGAGAATTTCGAAGTTTTTCTCCGCGTTTGTGGAATTATTTCTCACTCGATCTATATCGCTTTGTGTTTTTCTTATCTTTAGTATTTCATGTCTTTTTACAAATAATACACGTTATTTTTTTCTAGTTTGATAAAGAAAACAAAGTTGGACGTTATACTTGAAACGAGGACGAAGTTTCAACTGTCGCATAAGGTTGGCAAAGTCCTTGGAAATTATAATCGCCATAATCGGGCTTGAAACGATATCTCGATGTTATCAACTTACATTATCAAACAGTTTTTTAACATGATATTTTAAGAGGGAGAAACGGATTCCACCCTTCTTTTTCGGGGAAATTTAAAAAGTGAAATTTTACTTGTATCTAAAAAAAATATTGCAGAAGAAGGGAGTAAAAATATGATCGCAGACGGAAAGTTAAATAGCTGAAACAACAATGAATGAAAGAGAGAAATTATGCAAATTACTCATTAATATCGCTCGTAACAGATAGAATTTTAAATTAAATGTATAGTAAAGAAAAATGTGTAATATAAATCGCGTACCGAAATATAATATCTTGCTTCAAGCATAGCTATAACTCCAAACTTTGCCAACTTTATGCGACAGTTAAAACTTCGTCCTCGTTTCAATCATAACGTTCGGCTTTGTTTACTTTATTGAACTCGAGTAACGTGAGTCGAAAGTAAAAAGATGGTATATAGTACGGTGAATGCAATATTGATGGCAGACGTTTTTCGAGAAAAAATCCGATTATGATTGTAACATATTTCTAGAACGATTCCAATAGTTATCGTGCATATTCGCAACCGAGCATATCGCGCGACATAATAGGGACAAACGTAATTGAGGGGGTGGGAATAAAGGCCTGATTATAAAATCTTGATATTAATAAAAATTAAAATAACTTGCTACTTTTTTTATTGTACATAAATGGATACAATATTAAATGAATTTATGTAATGTCTTTAAGAAGTTACATGTTATATATAAATCTTCACTATTACGATCAATATTACATGAAAAAGCTAATTGCCCTAAGTAGAATTGTGCCATTATTCCGCCCATCTCCTCAATTACGCACACATAGATAAACGTCATACACCGTGTTTTTCTATAGTCAAGCAGATCGTAAAGAATACGTAGTAAAGAGTCGATTGAAACTGACCTTGTTGCAGCCGTAATTTATGTAGACTCCTTTGAGCTCATCTTCGGTTGAGAGTTCTGTGTTCGGACTGTTCGGCGGGCTCTTCGGACTGCAAATTCAAGGAAAAGACCTGTTATGATCCATAAACGTTGCAGATAATGTAAGTGGTAACTTCCCGTCACGAAATCCTCCAACAGAGATTGTTGTTGTTTACGCTTATTTATTTAACCGACATTACTCAACATTTATCGCTATGGCTCACTTGATTCTCCATGTGCTGTTTTTACAGATAATCAGAATGTTAAATTATCAAATTATATTGTATAAAATGTATTTTTGATTTTTTTTAAATTAAATTACTGAAAGAGAAAAAGGGCTACGAGCCTAAGAGTTAGTCGTTATAAATTGAAATTTTTGAGCAGTAAAAGAATAAAACATGTCATTTAGTTCTAATATAAAACTTTAATTTGCCGGCAATAAACAATAAAACACAAACAAACGTTTCGATCCCTGTTGGATCATTATCAATGTTAAAATACGAAAATAAAACAGTGGAAATATTACCAAGTTAAGATCTATAAAAATTATAATTAGCTCTCAATCGCAAATATTAATAATAAAACTTACAGTTATTAATATAATCAACCTCGCTCAAAATGAAATGAAAATTATAAGAACGTTGTAATCGGTAACAATGTATACTTCTGGTTATTATTTGTAGATTGAACATATCTGTTAAAAAGTACAAAAATAATTTAAACATATAAACATTAATAAAAAATTTTTTATGTAATCTAATAATAAAAATACAAAATACGAAGCAAAGAATAAAAATAAAAAAGTAATCTAATATTCTAAGAAATGCAAACTGAATTAATTATTATAGTAATAATAAAAAAATGTGTGTGTGATGTACAATTACAAAGTAAAATATATAAATTTAATTTAGTAACAGCTAAAGTAACCGATAATAAATATCTTACAAATTGTGTGTCCGTATAATATAGAAATGGTCTATTTTCAGACAATGCAATGAGAGCGAAATAGTCATCTCTCTAATATATTGAGAGACAATGTGAAAAAGACAAACTTTGGTAAGAAGGTTGAAATGGTAAATTAGAAAGGAAGGGGTACATATAAGAGGGGGAAAATAAAGTAGAGGGAAAAGAAAGCGGAAAGAAGGGAAGTAAGAAAAGAAGGAAAGCAGTTAAGAAGGAGAAAGAGATTGAATAATTTGTGAGTAAGAATCAGGTAATGATTCAGTATCATCCATTTTATTAAGACCTTGTTTCTGTCTTTTAATGTGAATCATTTCAGATACCAATCTCTTGTTGAACAAGAAGATTCGCAATCTAAAATTCTCACATCATTCCATCTAAAATTGTGGTCAAAATTGACACGATGATCAGTTATGACAGTAGGAGAACCAGTATTCTTCCTAATATCAGATATATGTTCGTGCCATCCCTCGTACTTAATTTTCTTTTAGTCTGACCAACATAACTCGCCTCACAATCATTACAAGAAATTTTATATACAACGTTCTGGTTGGATAGAAATTCCAACTTATCTTTTCCTCTCTTAATAAGATTTTTTAATGTGTTAGGGATGGTAAAGGCTAGTTTACAATGAAACATACTAGAAATAGGAAGAAAACTTTCTGAGATAGATTTGACGTAAGGAATTGTAAAATATTTGTCTTTCATTTGTAAATTACGTGTAATATGTTTATTATGTATATGGAACTTTAATCTTTGTTCAATTGTAGAAAAGATAAAAGATAAAGGATAACAGTTATCTAGGAAAATGTGGATAGCATTTATTAAATTTTTTTGTTGGAACCATGGATGTGATAATAGGATAATTTTGTCTATGAAGCTAATAATTGTGCCTTTTTTCTGGTAAAGAGGATGATTTGAATAGAAGTTAAGGAATCTTCCTGAGAATGTCTTTTTATGATAAATGTCAAATATAATTCTCTGATTATCTATGATAAGTGTTGTGTCCAGAAAACTCAATCTGCCTCCCGTACCAACCTCCAAAAATTGCAATCTCGTATATAAAGAATTAAAAGTATTCAAAGTATCATTTATATAGTATTAGATGGAAGCGCGAGAATGACATCATCAACATATCTGAAATAAAACAATGTCTGTACTGATAATCTATTGATTGCTATTTTTTCAAGATCTTGCATTACGATGTCGGCAATTATCGGTGATAACGGTGAACCGCGTGCGTGCGTGCGTGCGTGTGTGTGTGTACCAGCAATTTATTAAAGCAAACAGAAATGGAGTTAACATATTAAACAAATATATCAAAATAAAAATGGTATTAACCTGAACCACAAAGAGACTAATTTTGAAATTTATATATGTCAAAAATCAGATAAAGAAATACATTACTTATATTATATTATATGATTCGTAGAACGCAAAATGAACGTTATTATTTTCTCCGCTTCTTTTCCGATTAATTTGCGCAAGAATCGCCGAGAAGTGTCGCCAAGTTGCTTATCGCCAGATTCGTTCCGGTCAAGCGATAAAACGACGCGCGAAAAGTTGCCGCGATAATATGTCACCTTGGAAGTTTGCGACCTCCCGCGTATTATGCGTAATCCATCAATACATCGTAAACCGCGATCGAACTGACACTCGCAGTTGCAATTCGGTTGACAGCTGTGGTTATCCTTGCGCTTCACCAACATCGATATCACAACGAAGAGCAGCGCGATCGCTATCGAGGTCGTAATCATCTCGGTGAAGAGCTGCAAGTCGCGATAAGCGCATTTATATCAAGTGCATCATGTACACGTATTACGCGTTATCGACTCTCCTACTTTGATTTTTCTTTTTTCAAGATAAAACGCACTATGTTTAACTTTGCAATCGTTTAAATATATAAAGATTAATATCGTACACTGTTAGAAATGTTCTTAAATTTCGTTAACTTTTAAGTTACACAATTGAATTTAATTTGAATTTAATTTCATGACATTACATTAAATTTAATGTATTTGTAACTAAAAAGTATATTTATGTATATGTACATAAAATTTAATGTATTTTTCATGAAAATTTATTAAATTTAATGTACTTTCCATAAAATTTTATTAAAAGTACATTAAATTTCATAAATTTAATATACAGGTTCATTACATTTAAGTAACTACTGTAACTAAATTTTCAGTTAAATCATTCATTACTTTTAATTTCGTTCATAACCACAAGCTTCATTTACATGTAAAGGACATTGTATCGTGGTTACATTTCTAACAGTGTAGTCTCTCTCATATTTTAATGAGATATCTTACGTAATCTAATGTACATAGTTTATTGTCATATATATATATATATATATCTAATATTGATTAAATTAATTTTTATTAATATATTTGTGTACATGTACATGAAATTTAACGTATTTTTCATGAAAATTTGTGAAATTTATAATGTACACGTTCATTACATTTAAGTAACTACTGTAACTTAATTTTCATTTAAATCATTCATTACTTTTAATTTCGTTCATAACCACAAGCTTCATTTATATGTAAAGGAAGCTCGTGATTACATTTCTAACAAAACAATATTACAAAAACAATAGGCAACTAAGAGCTAGTACACAATTATTTTTGGTCTGTTTTCTGTTCCTGCACTAGACTGCACTAGAAATCTCTTTCTCGCTTTTAACAAATATCAAACATATACCTATTTCACTTTAAGTTCCAAAAGTATACACTAGATCAGCCACAGAAAACAGACCTATTAATACACGTTACAATTCTTCTTTATTCTTCACCTGTAAATATATTTCCGACGTTTCGGCTGCTTTTTTCAGCCATCTTCATAGTATAACATTAGGCTTAATAATCCAAAAATTTAAATGCAATTGTTCTGAATATAGGCACAATTAGTCAACCTAGAGTAATTCTCCATTTGATCATGTGAATATGTGTTATATTGACCTACATATTATAGTTTATAATTTTAAACGTTACGTTGACACGGACGAAGACACACACGGCTAATCGACAAATTTTATATAAATTGTATCCTTAACCCTTGAACACCACTGTGAGTTATGGTAACCCAATCCGTTTGAAAAAACGCGTGGCGTTTATGAACGATCAGAAGTGTGGAGTGGGAACAAGGGGGGGGAGGAACTTTCGCATCCCTAACTACAAATCCCCCGCCTGGCAACCTCAGCGTGCACGAATCAGTCGAGATAGAACGCCATGAACTTACTGTGTGGGTTACGTTAACCCTGTGTGGTTATTACGATTTTTTATTTCGAAATCAAATTGTAAGTCAATATACGAACAAGATTGCGAATTCAAATCGAAGAATTCATGAAACACACAGACATTCCAGAAAATCAAGATCCGCGCGATATATTAGCTGTAAACAA